CCCCAGCCCTGGGCTCTCTCCCCACCAGCGCTGACTCCGCCCGCTCCCCCTCGCCTCCAGCCAGTCCGGCGCTGGCAGGGTCAGGGTGAGCAGCGGGGCTCCCGGACCGCACCTCAGCCCAGGGTCCCTCCAGCCAGGGCTCCCGTCTCCAGGACCGGCTGGGACCGGGGAGGACAGAGCCGGGGGACCACCCCGGCAGGGGGCTGAGGAGCCGGGGCAGGGCAGCCTCAGAGGGAGCAGAGCCCTGGAGAGCAGGATGTGGGCCCCGCACAGCAGCGCCCCGCCCTCTATGGCCCTGCTGCTGCTGCTGCTCCTGGCCGCCCTGACACAATCCCTGGGTGGCTCTGGCCACTTCACCCAGCCCTGGCTGCGGCGCTGGGGGGCGGCTGCCCTGCGGCACCTGCAGGCGGCTCTGTGTGCCCCACGGGATGGCCTCCAGCCCGAGTGTCCTGCGCTTGGAGCCCGCCCGGCCATAAGGTGCGGGCGCTGCTCCCCGACGCGAACCGCAGCGGCCCCAGGGCGCCCCCAGTGCAGGCCGCGCTGCTGCTGCCAGGGCCGGCTCTAGGCTTTTGCCACCCAAGTGCCAAAAAAAAAAAAAAGAGGCTGGCTGGAATACCGCCCCTGAAAATGTGCCGCCCCAAGCACTGCTTGGTTTGCTGGTGCCGGGAGCCGGCCCTGACCCCCGGTCAGTTTCCATGGCGATAGTGTAGGGGGGCCTGTCCTGTCGCTGACATGGATTTCTTGGTTTAAAACAGACAGTACGGCCGAGACTGCCCATCTCCCAGGCCTGGAGTCTTGCTGGAGCGCAGTGCCTGTGAGCCGATGTAGCTGTGCCAGCACCCCCCTCGGCATGTCCTCCAGCAGCAGCCCCCGCAGGGCCGGGGGGGAGAGGGGTCCACAGCCAGGGCTTTGCAGGCTGCACGGAGAAGGTGAGCCAGCCAGCGGGCATGTGATCTGCACTGCGGGGGCCAATCAGCGAACCCGCAGAGATTCTGGCTGTGGGACTGCGTGGTACAGAGAGTCCCATGCTGCCGGCTTGCCATGTGTATGAGACTTACAGACAGGAGCGCTCCATTGACAGGTCCCCTGGCCCGCCCAGCACTGACAGCTCTGCCCAGCGTTGTCCCGCTTAGCCTCTTGGATTTCACGCGGCAAATGTTCATGTACCGAGGAAAATGGGACCTTCGGGAGGGCGTTCCTGGGAACTGACAAATGCGGCATTATTATCGATGATTATTATTAATGATCCGTATTACCCTAGGGCCTGGGACCCGCACTCACAGACCAGGCCCCCGTTGTGCCAGGCGCTGGATAGATACAGAGCAAAGAGGGTCCCTGCCCAGAGCCGGTAATCTAAGCTCCTTTGGCCAGATAACACCATTTCCCCTGCAGTGAGATCCCCCACCCCCGCCCCGAAGGAAGGACAAGCATTTCCCCTAGGGGAAAACCAGCCGTCTGAGCAGCCAGGAGCCTTTTCCTCCTGTCCAAACTGCCTTTGTGTTGTGGAAAGCAGCAGAGAAACTCTGTCCTCAGCTCCATAGTCCAAGGGCACGATGGGAGCTGGGGGGGTGAGGACCCCAAGGTTTAAGACGAACGATTCCTGCCAGTGCCCCGTCCTCCTGGAGTACGTGGGGTACCTGCCTTTCCGGGCTGGGAGCCCAGCTTCCGGGGAGACTAACGGCCCTTAGAGAGCGTCACCGCTCCTCCGTCCTGCTGTCCTGAGCTTGCTACTCTCCTGTGTTCAGAGACTCAGAGAAACTAGAGCTGGAGAAGACCCACTAGATCTCCGAGCAGTGCAGGGCTGTTCCCGGAGGCTGTTCCCCTCCAGACACTCCAGTGACGAGGGCCCTAGATGTGCCAATAGATGAATGGGTTCCTTTAGGACCAAGGCTCCAGCAGGTCTGTAGCGCTCGGCGGAGGGTGGGACCTGGCTTAAGCTGATGCAAGTTTTGTTTGTGTTGGTAAAATCAGACGTGATGCCAGCTGACGCCCCTCGCTCTGGCCCCGCGACCTGCCCACAGGGAACCCATGGAAACGGGCCCGGTCGTTCCAACACGCCGAGCGATACCTCACCTGACCACAATGCGCTGGGCCACAGGCGTCCTAGGAGACCCAGGACAGGGATTAAGAGACCATACACTGAAGGTACGTTGATCGCCGTGCGCCTTCCGACTAGGTTCCTCATTAGGCTCCCCAGTCTATTTTCAAAGGTACTGAGCACCCCCAGCAGGGTTAGTGGGTGCTGGAACCAGGCCTGCATTTAGGAGTCTGATCAGGTTCTTCCCTTCTGGGGCTGGGGGTCTCATTGGCTCTTGTAAGCCAAGCCGAGTTTGGTGTGGTCAATCACTGGATGGGAGACCTCCAAGGAATTGTGACTGAACAGGTGGCGATCTGCCCACTGAGTCCATCCTGAGCCAACGCCCCAGCCCCACCTTTCACATCAGCTGTAAGACCGAGGTGCCACGTATCAGTGGGCGTTAAAATCGTGCACGAGTAGGGGTGTTAGCCTGGGACCTGGTCCAGTGCCAATTGGGTAATTACACTCGGTCCCACAGCACAATGGGATCTCCTGCCCTTAGCTCCCTGGCCTAAGCTGTTGGGTAGCATGGCTGGAAGACAATCAGCTGCCACCTTTCACTCGGAGGCGGCTGCAGTGCAGTGGTGGGTGTGGGGATTCCTGCCTAATACTGTGCTAGGGAATTGGCTCTAGAAGAGCGCTCTAGAAGTGGTGCTGACCGTTGCTTTGTGTTGCCGGGTCTGATATGTTTGTCCTCTGGACCGTAGCCAGGACAGACACTGCCCGACCCCCCAGCACCGGCTCCTGCACTTCTGGTGAGGATGGTGGACAAAAGGCGGATGCCGCGTGGGAGGAATGTCCCAAGAGACCATGCCCCAGCGCAGCGCCGTCTCCCTGGGAGTGCTGCGGCTGGGAGAGCGGGACGCCCCTGGACCTCAGGGTGGAGGGGAGCGCGATCGAGGCCGTCCTCTCGGAGAAGCTGGACCGGGTCTCCCAGGATTTCGCGGCCATGTGCAGGGACGTGTCGAGCATGCAGAGCCGCGTGGCCCAGCTGGAGCGGGACTCGAGGGGCTGGGCTCTCGAGCTGGCTGCCCTCCAGAAAGGCAACAAGCACCTGAGCGAGACCGTGCGGCGGCTGGAGAGCCGCTGCCACATGCTGGAGAACCGTGCCCGCCGCAACTGCCTGCGGCTGGCGGGCCTCCCGGAGGGGGCGGAAGGAGGAGACCCCGTCGCCTTCCTGCAGAGGACCCTGCCCACGGTGCTCAGCCTGCCGGCGGACTGGCCACCCCTGGAGATTGAGAGCGCGCGCCGCGTGCACGGGGGGGCGCGCTGGGACCCTGCCACCCGGCCCCGGGCGCTGGTCTTCCGCCTGCTGCGCTTCTCCGACAAGCTGGCCATCATGCGAGCGGTCAGGAAACGCGCGGAGCCCCTGACCTGCGGCGGCGCCAGGGTCGCCCTCTTCCCGGACGTCTGCCCCAAGTTGCGCCGGAGGAGGGGGGCGCGGTACGCGGCCGTCAGGAGGCTGTGGCGGGCGGCGGAGCTCCGCTTGGGCGCTCCGCCCTCCGCCTGCTGCCACGGCCGGGCACAAGGACACTGGGAGCCGCTGCCCAGCCCCCCGGGCCGCATGCCCGCTGCAGACGAACAGGGGAGCAGAGTCACCAAAGGGCAGTGACAGAGGGAGGGACTTGAAGCTGCTGGCTCCACTCACCCCCCTTTGAGTCACAGGGTCCGTCTCCATTCTGCCCCGGAGACCACAGCACCCCCTGGGTCCGGCCTGGAGCTCTCCGGATTCCCTGACGGTAGCTAAGTACCAGCACTTGGCTGTGTGATTCCAGCGTGTCCGTGATTTCCCCGCCGCGGTGTGCACCTGCTCTGCTCAGCTCACAGGCCGGGGGGCTCCGGGAACTGCAGAGCGATAGAGACTCGGCCGTTATCGGGGCCGACACGCCGGGAAGCCCTTGTATTGTAACAAGTGAGATAGCATCAGAGCCGCGTGTTAGCGAGCTGCTCAGGGAGCCGATCGGGTGCTAGGCAGTCTGCAGGGGGGGCTCTGGGCGGGGGTCTGGGCTAGGGTCAGGCACGCGGATTTGCTTTGCTCCCCCTGACAATTGCTCCTGGCCAGCTGGGGAGAAATTTACAGTTCCCCTTTTTTCCCCTGTCCGTCGCCACTGCTCAAGCCGGTGTCTCTTCTGTCCAACTTCTAACCAGCCCCCGACCGCGGGTGAGTCACGCACGCTGCTACGTCTCGACAGCAGCTTCCCAGGGAAGAGTCTTCGGGTGCCCGGCCTGTGCATGCAGGGGCAGAAACCTCCCTGGTGCATCTCACTCACAGGGCCGTTGTCAGAGTACAGGCTGCCAGCTTGGCACCGCCGCGGGCTCCCAGCTCCCCGTCGGCACTGCCCTCGCCCAGGGGGAGCTGAGGATAAAGGCTGTCATGGGCTTTCTGGGCTGGTCCTTTCCCCTGTTTGTTTATCTACTTCCACGGGCTGGATCCACTGCCCACAGACTTACGCTTATTCCCCATCACTTCGGCTCTCCGGTTTGCTGCCCAGCTCCCTACTGTGCTCTGCAACTCCCCAGGCATCTCCCGGCACTCTGGAGAGGTTCTGGTTTTTCGGCACAGGAAGAAGCTGCCAGATTTGGAGCCCTCTGCACCTGAACACGTCCCACCCCCCACGTGCGTTAGCCCGGAACAGGTCCCGCCCCCCACGTGCATGAGCCCTGCCTTGGAGGGACCATCTCTGAGCGCAGAGGGAAGTTCATTCTCAGTGGCCTCCTTCCTCCCTACCCGGCCGAGACGACAAACAAAGGGACCGAAGGCTCGATCCTGCCAGGTGCTGAGCACTCCGGCCCCGCTGCAGCTAGGCATGTTAGCTTGTGCTTAGCTTTAAGGACTGGGTAACCCCTCTGAAGTCGGTGCTTTCCTGGATCGCGGTCTGAGCGCTCAGCGCTGCAGGATTGAGCCCAAAATGGGGCTGGGTGATGATTACACCCACCCACTCTGTGCCCAGCTGCACCCACCAACTCTCCCAGCAGCCACCCGTGCGCGAGCGGAGCTGGACTTGAACTGGAGACCTGCAGCGAAAGGCTCCTGCGCCCTAATCTCACACTGATCTCATCTCAATAGGCCCCGCAATGCCGATCTCCCCACAGAGAGTTTCTTTATCAAATGTATTCCCAAGCTGTCCTGTCTGTGCAGCACCGTCCTGCGTGTAAAGCACAGGTCTGAGCAGTGAGGCTGAATACAGACTGGAGCTAGGCAGGACTACGGTAGAGGAGGTGCCGTGTATCGGGGCAGGCAGCCCTGGGAGTGGTTGCCTGGATGATCCCAGCATTTTAAGAGTTAATCAGTCCAATGAATCATCCTGTTTGCTGAACAGAAGTGACAGGTGCCTCCCTGGATACGTATTTATTAAGTTCCCTAAGCTGGCCCCATGTCTCAGCCAAAATTTACTGGAGCTGGAATTTCTTCGTCTTCAAGACGCCCTCTGCCTATTCCCACTGGGCAGCTCAAAGACCTCTGGTTACAGGTGAGTCACCCACACCTGCCGCTTGAGTTCGCCCCCACCCCCAGCTCTGCCAGTGTATTGCACCGGGGCCTGCTTTTCTGTGTTGGGCGGTGGCTGCTCTGCAGAGCAGGCGAGCGCTAACCCTGCTGGCTCCCCCGTCGGTCTCAGCTTTGCTCTAACTTGGTGGCCCTATTCAGTAGCCATGGGGTACTGGGGGCCTGATTCTGACCTCTTACCAGCGATATCGGGAGCGACTCCGCCGTCGGGAGCGGAGCCGGGCTGGAAGCGGGAGTGACGCCGCCGTCGGGAGCGGAGCCGGGCTGGAAGCGGGAGTGACGCCGCCGTCGGGAGCGGAGCCGGGCTGGAAGCGGGAGTGACGCCGCCGTCGGGAGCGGAGCCGGGCTGGAAGCGGGAGTGACGCCGCCGTCGGGAGCGGAGCCGGGCTGGAAGCGGGAGTGACACCGCCATTGGAAGTGGAGCCGGGCTGGAATCGGGAGTGACGCCGCCGTCGGGAGCGGAGCCGAGCTGGAAGCGGGAGTGACGCCGCCGTTGGGAGTGGAGCCGGGCTGGAATCAGGCGCTTTGTGGCCCGGGCTCCCTTCTGTTGACAGCATGGTGTTTGTGATCCTTTCCTGCTGCCGGGGTGGGCGGCACGTGGCTGTGCTGATTTCCCTGTGTTCTGTGCTCACGGTGCAGTTGGGCTGCATTAAAACACTGATTTGTAAAGCTGCTTGGCCCCCTGGCTTGGTGTTTGTTTGAGTTCCCTGCACCTGCGTTATGGGTGTAAGTCAGGCAGGCCATGGGCCAGAACCTGCTGTCTGGATAAATCCAAGCCACTCCACGGCCTGCGGACTGGGGAGTTCCCCTTGTAGCCTAGAAGTTCAGGCATCCCCTGTATGAAACCCCCCTTCAGCCCCCGGAGAGAACGCGGGGCATTTGCTGGGGACTTGTGAGCAGGCATGAGGGATTATGGCCTGGCCTGGGGTCCTGAGTGTTATAAACCTGGAGCAAACCCCACCAGCCGATGGATTTCCGTCTGGGTGAGGCAGTGCGAAGTGCTGGAGAATCAATGCCCTGTGCACTAGCCAATCAGATTTGCTCGAATCACCGGCCAGAATTCCATTCATTTGCATAAATCTACAGGGCAGGTGGCTTCTTAAATGCGGGGCGTGAATGTTCCCTTCCCCCCATATTCAGTCTGCAGTAGCAACTTTCATTCACTTTCCTCTCAAGGCACCAGTGTGTGAGGCTGGTCGTACCTGGCAGAGGGCAGCTGTATAAGGAAGCCCTGGCCTCAGAGATAGAGCGGGGATAGAACCCAGGACTTCCCCCCCACACACGCAGCCCTTACCGCTTGAGCTAAAGGAGGTGCTCTGTTCGGTATGAGCCGGCCCCTATCCTCCCTGGAGCAGCCACTAGAGGGAGACATAATCTCACACGCACAAGTGCACACCTACGTGCACATGGAGCAGCCACTAGAGGGAGACATAATCTCACATGCACAAATGCACACCTACGTGCACATGGAGCAGCCACTAGAGGGAGACATAATCTCACACGCACAAATGCACACCTACGTGCACATGGAGCAGCCACTAGAGGGAGACATAATCTCACATGCACACAGTTAAGGGGCGGTAGAGACCCAATGATGGACAGTGAGGGGAGGAGGGGAGTTGGTGGCTTGCTGGGTGTGGCTGTGGGTGACACAGGGCCAGACCATGTGTAATATAAATTAAGACCCAAAACCCAGCGTGAAGGAGCATGACTGGAAAGGGCCCAGCCCAGTGCCCTCTGTGTGCGGCGCACGGGGGTCAGTGTTGCCACGGGGACAGGTCTGCCCAGGGTGCCGTCCGTGGGGGGTCTCTCTCCCCTCAGCCCTGCCTCTGTTTAAGTCTTAGGACACTGGCCGGGAACTGTGGTGTTAAAGCACCATGTGCTGGGAGTTTCCAGGGGCTGGGGAACCCGTAGGGGGCATGGTGGCTGGGTCTGGAGCTGGGAGAAGGTATGAGGGGGGACTCCGGGTCTAAGCCAGTTCCACGTCACCTGCGTCTCCTCACCCACGAACCCCACTCCTCCGTGGGATGCTTGGCCCACCTCCAGCCACTCCTAGTGCCACTCCGCCCCACACGGGGGAGTAACGGGGAGGAGGCAGTGCAGGCGTAGGGCATGGGCCTGCAGGCACAGAGCATCTGGGGATGGGGCCTGTGGGGATCTAGAGAGCTGGGAGGGAGAGGGTGCTGAAAGGGAGGAAACTCTGCTCCCATCCACCCCTGGGAACTCAGACAGCAAGTGGCCTCCACCCTCGGGGCTAGGGGGCTGCCCCACCAGCTCCTCTGCTCTGTGCAGGCAGCCCCTGGCGGCAGGGCGGCTGCAGCCGAGGCCTGGTGGTGGTTTGCTGCCCAGAGCACCGTGCCTCAGTGAAACACGGGAGCACCGCGGGTCCGTGCCAGCAAGAGCACGGCCCCAATCGCACCCAGCGGCAGCCGCGGGCGCCCCAGCCCCTGTCAAGCGGAAGTAAACCCGTTTCACGCTCCTCTCCCCCTCCGGGGCACATGAAGGTAATAAGAGCTGACGGCGCCCCTGACATTTCCCGCTGGCCCCTGAGCCAGGCAGCTTCTTGGCTCCCACACCTCATCGCAGAAGTACCGCACACGCCCACACGCTGGCCGTGCACTCGCCCCATCACTCCCCAGTCCTCACCCGCTCTCGTCCCCCGTAGAACTGTCCCGGGTCCGTGGGGATCAGCGGCTGGAGCAGCTCTGAGACCCTGGCTCCGAGGGCGGAGAACGAGGCCTGGGCTGCTCCAGTAGCTGAGTTCTTGGACCACCTCCCTCACCGTAACCGACTGAATGAGTGCCGTGTCCTGGCAGAGCCCCGGGTCTGAGCGTTAAAGCTGGAGGACCGCTGCTTGGACACGCTGGCCAGAGGAGGGGAAATGCAGCCTCCCCTCGCGCGGTGAAGTGCCCATGAATGTAGCAGTGGGTCCGTTCACCCCCCATCCCGGCTGCTGTGGGTTTGCAAGGTCATTATGTTGCTTCAAAAGCAAGTGAATGAGGAATAAAATGAGCCTGCGTGACAGGTGTGGGTTCCCTCTTGTGGCCATTTAAAGCCAAGGCCCCCTTGAGTGGGGGTTTCTGCAGACTGCACCGGTCAGACTCGGGGTGCA